ATTCTCTTCTGGGAGCCGCTAGAAAACAAGCTGCAAACGCGCTCCCTACCTCCCCACCCCTACATGGTTTTAGTGAGCTGTGTTCACTCTAAATGTTGACAAGCAGAGCCAACGATTTTAAACGTAGGGGGGGGGGGGGGGAAGGAAGGGGGGGGTTATGGTCCTTAACGAGCTACTTATAGTGTTTTAAAGAAATATTTACAGTGGCAGCGTTGGTACCGTCGAATTCACAAATTATGAATTACTGAAAAGTAGAAAAAACAACAACTAAATAGCGGCGTATGTTATGCCGCGGGCCGGCTCGTCAGAAATAATTAACATTAAGGATAGGAATACTTCATTATAGCACAATGTTTTTAGGGTGTTACTTCCTCAGATTAGTAAATTGAGAAAAAAAACCCAAGGGCACATAATAAACCCACACAAACTACAGTAGACCTACAAAACAAAAGCTAGTTAAATAAAGTGTTTAATTATCTTAGAATTCATTTTAATTGCCCAATGAAATATAAAATACGAATTCTGGGCTTATGAACAAATGCAAATCTACACAAATCTAAAAAAAAAAGAAAACGTAGCAATGTTGAAGTAGGCTACCTATACTTTGAACAACTGAATATTGTTGACACAACTCTGTAACGTAAATCACTGCATTCAGTCAAGGACACACTAGGTTATGAAGTATTATGTTTACAGGCTAAATTTAGAAAGGTTAAGATTACACCAAGTTTATTATTCTCGCTAAACAACATCAGATTACATGTGGCAAGATTGTTTCTGCTTAAATTACAGGTTATAATTCAATTTTTTTTCTAACCTATTACACCAATTACTATAGTCTGGTTATAACTTAAGTAAGAAAAAGAATCAGTTTATATTTGTTACCAGGATCTGGGAGATTCAAAGGAAATATAAACAGTCAGCCAAGGGAATGTACTGCATCCAGGGGAGCTTATTATAAGTTACTCTAATCAACAACACAATAGGAAAACAAAGTGTCTGATAAATGTATGAGCAGAGAAGAGGATGAACAAATGCACAACAGAAAATGTACTAAGAAGCTAAGGTAAAGGTTTCATCAACAGTAACTGAAAGAGAAAAATAAAGCCTTCCTGTTTAACAAGTACTTAAAATATAAAAAGCAGAAAATGAACAACTTAGAAACTTTAAGCTATAGCATTCAATTATGACTTCTCAAACTTGACTAATACATATTGAGCCATGCTCAAACTCTACTGTTTGGTGTGAACTACAATACAATTGTAATCTTGCAAACTGTGTACATATTGATATGTCATTTATTTGCATGCAGACAAATGGTTTTATTTGTATTAAGATAATACATTTTTTTAAAAATTGTTAAGTAAATTATTGAGATACCCTAGGTTAAAGTCTGCCTATATTGTTTACAAGTTTAAAAAAAAATTCCAATAGTTAAAACCACAACCAAACTCTGATTTAGTTTTATAGATTTACAACTTGGTTTAAAGACTTGTAAAAGTATGTAGGCCTACAAGAAACTTCTTGACAGGCCCACATAACCGCTTATCTGCAGAATTTGATTTAGTGCAGTGACCTATATTAATAAATGGGAGGCATACACAACTTTAATGCTACAGAATATAGAAAAATCCCATTGCTTTTTAAACACTTCAAAAAAAAATTCAGTTTAAATGTAATATGATTAATTTTCATGAGGAAATATTTAAAAATAAACTACAACATTGTTCCCCAATAGTAGGTCACAAGGTTGCGTCAGTAAAGTTCATGATTACTGAACCAAAAAGCCCCAGGTTTGAACCCCAGGTAAATGAGGCTTGATAGCTGGGGACAGCAACCCATCTAGGAGTGAGAGAGTAGTTTGTTATTTGATGAACAAAGGTTATGAAATAAAATCCAGAGTCAATGGCCTATTATTATATTGCACATAACATGTTGACACTTAATAGATCTACTCAGTTGTGTTGGAGGAAATCCTGTTCATATAATCATACTTATTTTAATTTATAATAAACATACTAATTTATCGTGATTAGTTAAAGAAAAAGCTAAACAAAATAGAAAAAATTGTTTTTAATTAAATTACTAATTTAAAATTAGATCTAAATGTTAAACATCCAGATTCTAGATCTAGATTATAATTAATAGTTGCTAAATCTAGACTAGATCTAGACCTATATACTATCCGCGGCATAACATACGCCGCTATTTAGTTGTTTTTTCTACTTTTCAATAATTCATAATTTGTGAATTCGACAGTACCAATGCTGCCACTGAAAATATTTCTTTAAAACACTATAAGTAGCTCGTTAAGTACCATAACCCCCCCCCCCCCCCTTCCTCCCCTACGTTTAAAATCGTTTCAAACTAAATTATCTGCCCCTAATAGTCGTCACTAAACCCGGATCTGTTTGTAAACATTTAGAGTGAACACAGCTCACTAAGACCATGTAGGGGTTGGGTGGTAGGGAGCGCGTTTACAGCTTGTTTTTTAGCTTCTCCCAGAAGAGAATTATATATACGAGCCGGCCCGCGGCATAACATACGCCGCTATTTAGTTGTTTTTTCTACTTTTCAGTAATTCATAATTTGTGAATTCGACAGTACCAACGCTGCCACTGAAAATATTTCTTTAAAACACTATAAGTAGCTCGTTAAGGACCATAACCCCCCTTCCTTCCCCCCCCCCCCCCACCTACGTTTAAAATAGTTTTAAACTAAATTATCTGCCCCTAATAGTCGTCACATAACCCGGCTCTGCTTGTAAACATTTAGAGTGAACACAGCGCACTAAGACCATGTAGGGGTGGGGAGGGAGGGAGCGCGTTTACAGCTTGTTTTCTAGGGTCTCCCAGAAGAGAATTATATATATAGATAGATAAGTATATATTAGTTTATAGTATATATTATCTACTAGATCTATATTATCTAGATGTAGATAGATTTCTAGATCTAGAGTAGATTCTAGAATCTAGATATAGATCTAGATTCTATTTTAAGTGGGTGAAGATGGCTTTCATTTTTTACTGGTTGGCATTCTTAAAGCAAAAGGCCCTAAGAAGGCGGCCTAAGCATTCTAAATCTAGATCTATTTAATTTTAATTCTAGATCTAGATTTCTAGATCTAGACTAGATTCTCTAGATCTAGATTAGAATAGATTCCCTCAATATTTCAATAGATCTAGATATCTAAATCTAGAACTAGATTAGAACTAGATCTAGATTAGATATCTAGAATCTAGATTAGATTTAGATTAGAGAAACTTGAGAAAGACAATGATGAGTCAGAATAAAGAGTCAAAGACTCAAAGAGTAAGAAGTAGAATCTAGATTTAAAATCTAAGGGGTCGTCCATAAATGACGTCACACTCGTATCTGTGATTTTGTGACGGTGTGTGATGAGGGGGAGGTCAATGGTGCAACGTCACACTTTTGCATTAAAAAAAAGCAAAGTTAGAAAACGAATTTTAGACGTTATTTTGCGTTTTAGAAAACTGTTTTAATAAATTGTAATAACAATTGATTAAAATACTCTATTTTGACAGAGTTTAGACAAGATTTTGGAAAAATATAGCTGTTTAAAAAAAATTCAACTGCAATTTTGAGGGGGGTTGTGGACTGAGGTATGATGTCATTTTAGGGGGGGGGGGGGGGTGGGGGTCTGGCTTTTTGTGACGTGTGACGGAGGGGAGGAGGTAAAAATCGTCCAAAAAAGCGTGACGTCATTTATGGATGACCCCTAAGTGAAAGTGCCTAAGACTTAGATTCTAGATGATAGATCTATATTTAAAGCATAAAGAACAAAGATTAAACTTAAAGACAAGAGTATTAAAGACTCTTTAATACTCTTGTCTTTAAGTTTAATCTTTAATAAAGAGTTAAAGTCAAAAGTGTTAAAGAGTAACTGAGTAAAGAAGAGAAAGTAAGCATTTTTAATTTATCAAAGTTAAATAAATAGAGTCTAGATCTAGATCTAGATCTAGATTGAGAATCTAGATCTAGATCTAGACTAGATCTCAAGATCTAGGGCGTAATAAATATTAAATTAAATAAAACTTAAATTTTAAATTAAAGTTTAGAGTTTTCAAGTGATCACATGACATCAAGTTGATCAAGACCAAGTCAAGTTTTCTAAATCTAGAAATCTAGATCTAGATCTAGATCTAGATCTCTAGATCTAGATCTATCTAGCTCTAGATTCTAGAAGATTCTATTCTAGATCAAGATCTTTAGATTCTAGACTAGATATTACTTATTTACCTGCTTTAAATTATATACTGAACATCTTACATTTCTTTATAAGATAACGCGTTGCAGCTTGCCTCTCAAACCAATTTAAATCCTCCATCCATTTTTACTTTTTACCGCTCATCGTCAGTAACGGGAATCGTGTGATGCTTGAATTCAAAATGGCGATCTGTTTTTCACAGTTATATCCCCTGTTTATTCTGTCGTCTGCCAATAGGCCTAGCCTAGGCCTAGGACTAACATCGGCTAGGGTCCTTCCAGCTAGAGTCTAGATCTAGATCTCGATCTAGAATCTCGATCTAGTCCGATCTACATGTGAAAATTTAAATATCTCGGCTTAGGCCTTGGTAATCGTGACCATATTCTAAATAAATCACACGATTTTTATTTTTTTACAAGTAGCCCAGCTAACACAGTATGTAATACCAGGGTCGGCCCTTCATTGGCCCAATATGGTTATCTTGGCCATACACTGGACAAGCTTACGCCAGGGTACAGCCAAGATTTGTACATGCTTGCATCCCTTGATATCTTGATATTTAACCGTTTTTACCTTGGCTGCCAAGATTACACTGATTTATGTATTCACTGCAGTAATTTTAGTTAAATATGCTTGTTAAACTTAATATATGTTTGCTAAAATAAGTTATCTTTTAATATCATGCTCTAATTTAAACATAGCATTGATAACAAACTACGTTGCATGTGTTAAACATTTTGTTAAACTTTTAAAATTGTGTGCGCTACTGCCGCCGGCCCCTCTCGCCCATTGTCCCTTTGTTCACACTTCTTCACATTCCTTCCTATTGTTCGCAAGCCAGCATCCCGGTCCTTCGCCATTTTTCTTAACAAAAGACTTTGCATCCAGTCACAGTAAAACAGGTAGGCCCACTGCAGCAATTTTAGTTCAACAGTGAGAAGCAGTATAACTTTATTTATACAGAATCTGGAAATTTCGTATTTTTTTGTTGGAAACTTCATAAGTCATTCATTAAATAAAAGGTAGTTTATTTGAGGTAATAAAATGTGCCTAGATCTATAATCTATAGGCCCTAGATAGATCTAGATCTATATATTAATAATACTATATTCTGCTTATTTTGGCATTATGCCATTAGGGTAATCCATAAACGACGTCACGCTTTTTTGGACGATTTTTACCTCACTTCCCCTCCGTCATACATCGTCACAAAAAGCCAGACCCCCATCCCTAAAATGACGTCACACTTCAGCCTGCAACCCCTCTCAAAATTGCAGTTGAATTTTTCTTAATACATCGATATTGTTCCAAAATCTTGTCTGAACTCTGTCTATATATAGAGTATTTTTATCAATTCCTATTACAATTTATTAAAACAGTTTTCTAAAACCCAATATAACGTCTAAAATTAGTTTTCTAACATGGCTTTTTTTATAATGAAAAAGTCACAGTGTGAAGTCGCAACATCTGAACCCCCCCCCCCCCTCATCACACACCGTCACAAAATTACGCCCCCCCCCCCTCCCCTACGAGTGTGACGTCATTTATGGACGACCCCTTAGGCCTTAGGCTATAATTAAATTTTACAATAATCTCCTAAATTCTAGACTAAATGATAGATCTAGTTACTAAAAGTTTTAGGATCTAGATCTAGATTAGATCTATGTTTTCAAGGGAACACTATCTAAAAATTAAATCTAAAGTTCTGATTGTTGTCTAATCTAATTCATAATATCTTAAGCAGTGAAGTTATGTGGCAGACTCAGAAATGTTAATTTTAGGCTAATTATTTTAGTTATGATATAGATATAGATCTAGATTCTAATACTAAATAACAAAAAATCGTAATTAGAGGGCTGTTAATTTTGTCAGCGTTTTTTGTGTATTGAAAAGTATGCAAGTATGTTTGGGATTATATTGATTATTGATAGATATATGTATTTATTGGTTTTCAACTTTAGGTATAATTAATTATTCAAGCACATGGGGGGGGGGCTTAAATGTTAATAAATTAATAAATAGGGCCTAATCATTCACTTTAACTTAAAAAAAAAAAAAAACTGAATTTTATTGTAGTAGGCCTATTTGTGTAAGGATTTGAAACTGTCTTTAATATTAATTCATGGAGAGAGAGAGAGAGAGAGGAACAGTAGACACAATTATAGAACAAATTTCTACATGTTAAACAGCGTATTTTGATAGGTATTAATTTTGAAAAAAATTAACTTAGTCAACTAGAATTCTAAATTGATTCAAGATTGTCATTCAAATTCCTATTACTGTTACAGCTTCCTATGGGAGAATAAGATGTAAGATGTGTAAATAGTAGTGTGGAGACCTCAGAGCAACACTTAATTTCATGACCAACAGCGGTAAGGTGGTACTATTCGTAAGCCTTACTTATAGATCAACACTACTCCTATTATCATATAGAGGACAGAGTAGTCAAATGGTTGAGGACGCTATTGCTAAACATAAAACCAAGTTAGTAGTACATTCATCGGTGCACCTAACTCTGATATATACCCGATTTAAGACTATGAAATAAAAAGGTGGCTAGATATAGTGCTGACTACACAATCCTTTATATACAGAGATCAAATAAACAGAGATGCTGTACATAACTTGTCCTATTGCACACGCTAGAAAGGGAACTTGACATTTTTAGACAATCATATGATACTTATGTACTATAACATGATAGTATCATTTTTTGGAGTTTTGTGTAGAATTACGCTTGGTATTGATGTATCATTGTCCACAATTAGTACCTTGTTATTAATAGTCTTAAAAATTGAGTATCTAATCTGGCTATCATTTATTGTATTACTCACTCACTTTATTATTATATTTAATAACTAATAACTAAGAATGCCATTTATTTTCAGGTCTCCAGGTGTTGTGTATATCAATCAGCCCACTGTATCAATCTTTTAATAAATTATAAGGTCCCCACTGCTTGATACTTCACCAAATACTGGCTACACCAGAAGATGACTAAATGTTCTTAACACTTAATAACTGTAAGTTTACATTGTTTCAAAGTGAATAATAATATTCATTTAGTATTTTTTGCTTGCATTTAATGATCAGCATGTGTAGTTAATGCCTTTACTGATATTAGTAAAATAATTTCAGACCACAAGCATCACTTCTGGGCCACTGAAGGGTCCAATCGTTCAATTTCGGAAATGATAAAGTTGATGAAATTGCTCAAAAGTTGTCTGGCACCTTCTTAACTCAGAGACATAGGGTAAGGGGTTTATAATATTTATATACATACAATTTTTTTTTATTACAAGGTCTTTTTTTTCACTCTTGTTTATAAAAATATACAAATAACACACACACACACACACACACACACACACACACATATATATATATATATATATATATATATATATATATATATATATATATATATATATATATATATATATATATATATATATATATATGCAGTATAAGTGTACACAGCAAGGAACTGCAGTTCTACTATTAAAATTATATATAGCCACTTTTTATTTACCTGGGTAGCATGAACACCCCAGACCACCAGTCTTTATACCTATATAATATATCGTTACAAAGTAGCAAACATGATGTTAGGGGCTTCTTGTTGTATGTTTAGTGCAGTGCAAAATAAAATAAACATAACAGATTTAGTGCAAAAAGAGCAGTGTATAGTTGTAATTATTTCATAAATGACTTTTAGTGTGTAACTTTTCTTTTTTAGAATGTGGATGGATTATGACATACCTTGCACAAATCAACAACCAGGCTTATATTGGATTTGAAACCCAAAGGAAAGAGAAAGTTTGTTATCCAAAACAAACATGGAAAATATCAGAGACCAACAAAGCACAAGCAGGCAGAATGTCATGGACCCAACTTTAGGGAATCTCCCAAAACCAAGTATAAAAAGAGAGAGGTGTGGTTGTGTCTCTCAGCTCCACAAGGGTCAACAAGAATGAGGACAACATTGATTTTCGTAATACTTTTAGATCAGATTTTCAATTTTTTTTGGATCAGTTGGATCAGGTTAACAGTTTGATACATATTGCATTTAAATACTTAACAAAAAGAAAAGATTCTCTTACCAAAATAGTCTAAGAAAAATGCTGATTTGTAAATTAATAAATTGTTTCCTTTTGTAATAATATAATAATTTAAGTTTGCATTGTATGTATGTTTAGTGTAGATTTAATGCCCTAAATGAAATGCAATCTACAATTTACATTTTTTTCTTTAAAGAATTAGTTGCAAATTTCTTTCATTATTTTGTTTCACTGTACAATCTGAAAAAAGTTTGCAACATTTGTATTGACAATACTTCTGCTGGTGATATTTATTTCTAATTAATGAAGTAAATTAATATATATTTAGTTTACTATAATTAAATACCTCACACTCGAGGCAAAAAAACATATTTATTGAATATCGCAGTGATATTCCTGTTCTACATAATGCATATAAACCCTCGAACCATCGGTCTTTTGAAAGATTGTACATTTTGTATACACAATGTCATTCATTTTAACACTATTTAACCACAACTATAATCTAGAGATCCTGAACATATTTTCGTTCTGTTATTTATGGACAAGGCAGACTGGTCCAGCAACTGTAATCTACCTTAATTAGAATATTTAGAATATACAAGCTATGCAAGTAATTGTTTTAGACAAATATTTTATACTTTTTATTTTTAATGTTATGTTTACGTAAGATACTACAAGACAGCTTCTGTATTCTTGTACAGTAAATTAAGTTTTTACATTAGTTTAATTTAAACTGTACTTACCATCTGTTACATTATATGAACATGTTTTGTATATTTGTTTTAATTTGTTTGTATAAAAGTCAAAATGAAAGTTACTACACTATTATTTACATAGTCGTTTTCAATCAATACTTTATAGTATAGTTATAGTTTTCTTACATTTGAATGGATCGTATAATACAGATTTTAATAAATGAGCAGTTTTTGTGAATGTATTGCTGCTTTACTACATTTTGATTAAAATTTCTTTCACATTTTGAAATTAACTTTGTAAATATTATGACTGATATGAGAATTGATCTTTTTGTATGCTGAAAATCAAAATCTTAGCCAAGATGTAGCCAGGATATAATACAGGCTGAGCCAAGGTATAGCCGAGATAAAGCCATTATTGGGCCAAGATGTAGCCAGGATATAATACAGGATGAGCCAAGATATAGCCAATATTGGGCCAAGATATAGCCAATATTGAGCCAAGATGTAGCCAATATTGGGCCAAGATGTAGCCAATATTGGGCCAAGATGTAACCATGATATAGCCAATGTTGGGCCAATATGTAGCCGGGATATAGCCAATATTTGGCCAAGATCTAGCCAATATGTAGCCGGGATATAGCCAATGTTGGGCCAATATGTAGCCGGGATATAGCCAATATTTGGCCAAGATCTAGCCAATGTTGGGCCAATATGTAGCCGGGATATAGCCAATATTGTGCCAACATTGCGCCAACATCATGCCGAGTTTCACTACCAATGTTTGGCCAAGGTTAAGCCAATGTTGCACCAAGATGTAGCCAATATTGGTAGCCAATGTTTAGCCAATATTGGGCCAATATATGTGTGCTGACTGGGAGATCTAGATTCTAGATTCTAGATCTATTTTGGTCTTATATCTTAAATATTGCAAGAATAAAGAAAACCCTCCGGGAAATAATAAGGCCTATGCCTTTTTTTAAAATTTAATAAGCGTTGAAAGGAGAATCACCGACAGAGTTTCTTCCAGGCATCTCTACCGCCTCCCCCCCCCCCCCCCACGAACGAAATGGAATTTATATAGAAAATACATACATTTAACAGTGTCCGCCCCCCCCCCGAAGAAAGTCAACCCCCCCCCCCCCCGGAAATTTCAAATGCTACCCCCCCCCCCCCCCCCCGGAAAAAAAAAGTCTGGAAGTAACACCGATCGCCTACTAGATAGATCTAGATAATTATAAAATAATTACATGTTTTAAAATCTTTATAAAATGGCCTACAAAATTTCTTGCTTTATTTATAAGAACGAATGGTAAAAGCGTTAGACGCTGTATAAATCCGTTTTGTTAATTTCCAGCGTTTTAAAATTGTTAATGAGTTTGCATTTTGTAGGGATAGGAAGAATAAATGGTCATCCATAAATTAAATGATGTCACGCTTTTTTTGACGATTTTTACCTCCTCCTCCCCAGAGTTTCTTCCAGGCATCTCTTCGAGGGGAGGGGAGGGGGCAATGCCCCTTCCCCCCCCTAAAGGAAGTCTACCGGTCCTCCGAACGAAATGGAATTTATATAGAAAATATATACTTTTAACAGTGTCCGCCCCCCACCTCGGAAATTTTAGTCCGCTCCCCCCCCCCCCCCACCACAAAACTTCGCCCCCCCCCCCCCCCCGAGAAAAAAGTCTGAAAGAAATACTGCTCCTCCCCCTTTGTTACACATCGTCACAAAAGGCCAGACCCCCCCCCCCCCCAAAAAAAAATTATGTCAAAACTCAGCCTACAACCACCCCTCAAAATTGCAGTTGAATTTTTCTTAAAACATCGATGTTTTTCTAGAAGTTCGACTGAACTCTGTCAACAAATTAAATCAATTTTTATTACAATGTATCTAAACAGTTTTCTAAGACGCGAATTAAGAGATAAAATTAGTTTTCGAACATTGATTTTTTATAATGCAAAAGCTGTGACGTCACACCATCTTAACCCCCCCCCCCCCCCACTCATCGCACAGTCACAAAAATTACAGACACCCCTCTACGATTGTGACGTCATTTATGGACGACCCCTAACAAGTTGTTACCAAAGTACACATAATCCCTTCCCACTTTTTTCGCATTGTATAAGTAAATTGTGTACACTTGGCGAGGGGAAGGTATGACAAGAAATCCTATTTCAATTGCTGGATAGTTAAACAAAAATAGTGTTACCTTGGTGGTCTTCCAGTAAACAATATTTCAACATGGGCCTTTTTGCGTTGAAACTAGTGATATTATTAAGCATAATTAGTAATAAAACATATAGTGGTAGTTACCTCACAAGTTAAAGACAGTAGCAAATACTATGGACGTTTCGACCCAAAGTCTTCGTCAGCACATAACAACCTCACTGCAGCTACCATTATTATTTGTAACTGTCTTTAACTTGTGAGGTAGCTAACACTATCTATTTTATTACTTATTGTATTAACCTCACTGCAGCTACCATTTGTATTTATCTTTAAACATAATTAATGCATATAAGCTGTAAGCACCGTGATATGGATATAACTTTTTAGCGCAATTTCCATTCTGGAGAATTGCGTTTATTAACTCGTCATTTCTGGGAATGGATGGATGGATGAATGAATGAATGAATGAATGTATGGATGAATGTGTCCGGGCTTTAAGTCGTATCTCCTCCTCAACGAAGCAATATCGATGACTAGTTCCAAAAGCAATTATGTTAAGCAAGTTACGAGAATGAACATAGGCCAAAAAATTCCGGGTTTCTTTCATGGATTTCCCGGAAAAGCCAAAAAACCTCGAAAAAAAGCAGTTTTTGGCCCATATCTCGGCAACCAGACCACTTAGCGACTTGAAACATGTACCAATCGATTCCTGCCATGATTTAGAACAATATTGCCGAAGAAAGTTTTCAAAAATATCCTTTCGTTCGGTCACAAAAAAAAATTTTAATTAATTAAAATTTGGACCGAATTAGTAGGCATTTTTTTCCAACCACACCACACGCGTCATCACGTTCAATAGCTGCGCCATCACGTTCAATGGCTACGTCATCACGTTCAGTGGATAGGCGCGCAATGGTTTTTAGTCATGTAACTCTATTGTAAATAAAACATGTATTTTAACCAATGGTTTTACTAACCCTGCTCTTGATTTACGCTACGACAGAGCTATTTTTAGATAACATAAGGAAATTGCGCTTAAATGTCACTAGACTTTTTAATTAACTTGTTTTATGTACAGACGTAAATTATATACCAAACAGAAAAAAAGGATTAAGAAGTATTTTTTATGGGACAAAAATGCTTGATTTTATTGTATTTTTTGTCTTATCATGTTTTTTTTTTCTTTTAATTAAATTTAAAAGTTGTTGAAGGGAATTAATCGTTTTAATTACTATCCATTCAATATAAATAAACATAATAGCCTCCCCTTACATCGTTTTCTTCTGCAAAACGGAAATGACCCCTGAGTTTCCTTCTCGTCCAAGATGGCGGTGCATTTTCTTATGATGAATTTTTCGACCCCACCCCCAAGAGTTTAACCAGCTGACGTCAATTTTGGGGTGGTTTTTCCACGACTTTCTGTGATAATTTAATTGATTATTTGGAATTATTATTTTAAAATGTCGTCTGCCGAGTTATATACCAAGGTAATCATTTTTTAAAATCCTAAATCCTGCTTGCGGTGTTTCAGTGTTTGTGTAGTGTTGTTGTTTTTTGGTAATCTATCGTTTTGGGTACGTAAAATCGCCCGCGATTTGTAATGTGAAAAACAGGTGACTCCTTAAATTTTAATAATTATTTCACATTTTGAGGAGGATTTATGTTTTAAAAATTCAAAAATGTTTCCTTGATTCATTTATGTACCTGTTTTTAAACAATTGAATTAAAACTTTTCCGTAATAAATGAAGACTAGCGATGTTTCCAACAGATGCAACCATTCTCATTTACTATAGCAGCCATCTTGTCTAAGTTTTATTTTTTATAAGCTTTAGCGCCAGATTCAGGGGGAAGCCACTCTATTTTACAAATGGCTGCTGTTTATATAGCAAATCTTGCTCTCAGACACTGCTGTTTAAAGTTAATTTCTGGCCTATATCGATATATTTAGCCATTGATTTAGGTTTATTATTCATTTATCTATAATATTTGACATAAAAGTATGACAATATCCTTCTATTAAAGCCTTGACAATGAGGTAACGTTTTCGTACATAAATAGCCGCGGGCGATTTTACGTACCCAAAACGATAGATTACCTGTTTTTTTCTCTCTTTTTTTTTTTTTTCATTTCTTGACTTGAATCTTGTGGGATCAGAGAAAAAGAACACTCACTCAGGCAAACAGACTGAGAGAAATCTAAGATTTAACAGTAACACTCCACATTTTACCATGACCTTTATCACTAGAATATGATCCAGAAATTTAGATCGAGAACCCTAGCTACTAGCTAGATCTAGGCTAGATCTAAAAATCTAAATCTCTAGATTAGATCTAGATCTAGATCTAGATCTAGAGTCTAGATTCCTCTCTAGATTAGATCTAGATTTCTAGATCTAGTCTAGTTAGTACGAGGTATACAGGTATAGATTCTAGATCTAGTAGATCTAGGTAACTAGACTAGACTACTAACTAGTACTAGACTAGACTCACTAGAGTACAAGTACAAGACGACACTAGAATAGATCTAGATCTATTACTTCTTGATCTAGATCTAAATCTAGATCTAGATTCTTGTTCTAGTTATTATTAATAAATTACTAATCTAGGCCTTTTTTTCCTCTCAAGTCTTTCTTAAATTAAGTTAAGAGGAAAAATATTGTAGGACGGTAAGGACTTAACTTGAATTAACTTTTCCTCTTTTCACCACAAGACCAAGTGTTGAATGTGTTTGAAATTGAATTGTTGGACTTTTTCTTCATATTTTTTTTCTATTTTTAGATCTAGTCTAAGTATAGTATTACTCTAAATAAATAGGTTTAAATCATAGTATGCTAAGCTAGATAGTAGATTGTAGATCTAGATCCATAAACTCTATTAGAATTAGATTTCTTTCTAGTTTTAAAGCTTTAATTTTTTAATTGCACTAACCCAAATCATTTTATTCAGGTGTCTAACATTAGGCCTATTTATAACTTGGTACAATTTGGATTGAAACACACCTAAATACTTTCCAACTGGACTAGAATATTTTTATAGAAGACCTACTAACAATGAACCTAGCTATTGGCCTATGTGTGAAACATGTGTTAAATAAATTATTATTGAAGAAATGGTTTGTGTATGATCAGTTTTGCATAAAAATGTAGTCAGAATTGAAATGAAGCTATTTGCTTCATTGTTGTACAGTATAGGCTGTCTGATAATTCAAGATGGGTATTTAGCAAACAATTGTTTCATAGTATAGGCACATTTGTTTTATGGATTTAAGACAGATGCTTTCAATATAACATTACTACTTGAGTACTTTGCAATTCAATGTTCTTTACAAGCATTTAATATTTTCTGTGACTATATAAAAATATAATCTTAAATTGTATGCACTCTTGGATCAAAACAAAACATCACCCAGCCTTTTTATTTTCATTCTTCTCTTGCATGTTTCCTTACCCAATACTGTCTACAGGTTCTCATGAATATCAATTTAATGGGATCCAATTTCTGATGTTGATGTTAGCAAGTTTGTTATTTAAATAATGAAGATAACCAACTTGAGGTTTTAAATACTACATTTTACTGTTTGGCTGGTTACACTTGTTATTGTTAACATTATTTCATAGCCAAATTAGATTTCTGACATGAATTATTTTGTATTTTGGAAGTCACTACTGTAGTTCAGTTATAGAAAATGTATACCCTCCTCCTCCCCCCCCCCCCCCCCCTGGAGAAAAAGGTCTGGAAGAAACACTGGGTAGAACAACATATAATAACATGTATACAATTCTATGAAACTTTCTAACATTCTAAAATAACATATAAGAAATACACTCTTTTCCCCTTTACCGTAACAATACAATAATCATATTATTCTTAATGATGTAACCCATAATATTTATATTACATTAAATTATGTTTTATTTTACGGGTTTTGATCAGGAAATATTATTGAGGTTTTCTTGTGGTGTAGCCGCCCGCCAGTCTGATTATTGCAGGCCCACTTTGAAGCGGGCCAATCAATCATTTGCTATAGGACACAGACCTCGGTGTGGCTCCCCGAAATGTAATTAGGGCGATTCGTGTCCCTGTGATTCATTTCATGTCAATGTAACTGCTTAACTGTGGGAAACAGCGGCCTCTATTTATAGCTCTCCATTCAGTGCTGCCGCGGTCTACCAATAATAAACATTGGTCTGCGCATGATCAGAGCAGTATCGTCGCTTGTGGAGTGCCTTTGACGTTAGGCCTGTGTCGTTACGTAACGTTTGATCCGCATCAAAGCCGTTTCTGTCATTTTAAAATGTGTATCTACTAAAGCACACTACTAGAAATCGAGGAGTATTGTTTCCATGGGGGGGGGGGGGGGGAGGGACGGCGGACACTGGATAAAGTATAACTATTGTATTCCTCTATCTCGTCCAAGGAAGGGAGAGGGTGTGATGGTTGGGTGTGTCTTTCCCCCCCCCCACCCTTTAAAAAAAAAGATACGTATTGGTAATGACCAGCAATAGACTTATCAAAATATAGGCGTGTTAGGTAGTGTTTTAATGTCTGTTTTTGTTGGGTGTTAAAGAGTGAGCATATGGTATATTTTTTTTAAAAGGTTAGCATTGACATAAGCAAGGCGTCTTTGTAGTTAGTTAACTACCAGTAATCTAGCAGTAATCTGACACCCCTGTTAAATAAATGTCGTTATTGTGTCATTATCGGACACACACGGGGGGGGGGGACCCACGCCCCGACATTTTTATTCAGACTGGTAAACGATGGTACATGTAGGGTTAGTGTTAGCCTGCTTTAAACGGTTGTGTGAACTAGCAACCACAAGGGGGGGGGGGATGGTAATACAGTACAGTTGTTTTCCTAAATTTTAATTCAGACAGGTAAACAATGGTACAGGTAGGATTAGTGTTAACCTGCTTTATACGGTTGTGTGAACTAGCAACCACACCGGGACATTCACCTCAGTACATCGGTTAGTCTACATGACGCGTGACTCTAAGATAATGTGGACGTTTATCGCCACAGCTAGTTATTTAATCGTGATAATTATGTATATGCACTTTTTCAAATCAGCTAGTGATAATCTGTTACAGATTCCTGTTGAAAATATGTGGTCTCTATAATGTCTTAGTGTATTTGTCTTCGCTATTTCCCCCTTTTGGTCTAGTGCTTGTTGTCTAGATCTTAATTTGGACCAATATTACCTCACCATAAATGGTTCACATTTGAGTCAGTGGGGCAATACTGTTGTTTTCCTATGCTTTTAGTTTAGTGATCAGGGCTAGGGGTAGTAGAACAGCCCTATTAACATACATTATAGATTCGGGTGGCCGGAAAGATGCGCAACGGAAAAGTGCGCATGAGTATGTTTGCTTTCTTAAATCGAGCATTTATAGACATTAACAAAGAATGACTACATGCACATTGTAGCATAATAAAACACATTTCCTCGAAATATGATAAAATTAAAGTGCTTTGATATAATTAGTTGGTATTTGCGCATTTTTCTGTTTGCGCAGTTTTCCGATTGCGCATTTTTCTGGGAGCCATAGCGTGGATGTTTCATCTGTGTTTTTCTGCAAGTACAGCCTACTTTCACAAATACTTAACACACTCACAAGTACTAAACACACTCACATGTACTTTAAACACACAAGTACTAAACACGCACAAGTGCTTAAAGACGAACAAGTGTGGTTTTGACGTAGAACAGGTATTTGTTGACTGTAGTGTAGAGTAACAATTTGTTTCGTTTGTTTTCACACAGCGGCGCAATGTTTTCAAATATTTAAGACATGTTGGTTGGTAGGTGACGGCCACTTAAAACAATAGCATGGCGGGGCGGGACTAGACGGGCTTAGTTTTGGTAAGCATCTTAACACTGTCGTAGGTGATCGGGTTTTTTTTTTGTGTGTGTGCTTGTAGCTTTGACGACCATTTTAAAAGAAAATTGTTATTGTAAACAGCAACATTTGGATAATACTATTCTCAAAGGACGGTACGAGGGTAATCTCGTAAACAGCACCAGAACTACAGTTTTATTGGTGTTCTGCTACGATCAAATATTTTGGCCAACTAGTGTTAGGAAAATGACGCCTAGTAGCTGAAATGTTCAATATAATCTCTCGTCTTTTTTACAAGTTTCTTTACGAAATCGCTCAAAATATTTTTGTTTTTCTTACCTCCAGTTCTAACATTATTGTTTTGTATGGTAACGCTGTGTATGCGTACATGCATTTCGCTGAATGTTAATGAGTACTTAAGATTTCCCATATTTAAAATTGAAACAATATCCAATTATCAATGCTCGCTTTGCATGTGTGTGGAGTCTACTTTTTGTACTATCTCCTCTTTATTAAATGTACCCTCAACCTTGCCTCAAATACAGCGTGAGCTGTTTTTTCCCCTTATCACAAACTTGGATCGTGTTGTATGTGGTGCACACTCGCCTGTGTTGTCTTATTATGGGACAATGCCCCCCCCCCCCCCA